AATTAGGGTTTCTGCCAACAGTGCTGACTCGGCGAGTCATCTCTCCGACTCGTCGAGTCCATTCATTATCCACATCACCAAGCCGCGACCCTACTCGACGAGTGGAGGCACCAACTCGTCGAGTCCCTCCAAAATCCTTAAATTAAATACTTAAAACAATATACTTGGTAAACCGGATGTTACACATTTGGTTTTTTCTTCAAATGGTCTACGCCATCAATCAACCCATGAATACCTTTAATAACTTTTGCCTAAATCGAATTTGAGTCATTATGTAGTCTCTATCTAACTAACAAATCATAATTAAACGCCTTCAAGATTCAAATTCCAAGCCCGCCTTTTTCTTTAGAATTAAAAACCTTTTCCCACTTTACCCAAGCTATTTAATCACGGCTGAACGCACCTTGAAGAGTGAAAAATAGTAAATAACCAAACTCCTAAGCACAGATATGATTAAAGTTAACCTACCCCCTAAGAGAGCAAGTTAACTTTCCAGTTGGCCAATCGCTTTTTCAACTTTTGAACTACCAAATTCCAACTATCCACGTGTCCCATGTTTCGCCGAACAAGGATGCCTAAGTACGAAAACGGTTTAGACGCAGCCAAACAACTAGTAACGGTAGCCATATCTTCCACTTGATGAAAATCAATACCAATCCCATATAAATTTGATTTTGTAAGTTAATGCGAAGACCCAAAATCAAATAGAAACAATTAAGAATAGTAATCAAATTCTCGATGTTATCTTTATTCCAAGCTCCCAAGAAAATGACATCATCCGCATAGAAAATGTGAGAGATGTTGTACCCCAGGTCACCCACTTCCAGACCTTTACACAACCCTTGACTAATAGCATCCTCTAGCAATATGCAACCATTCCATCACCATAATGAATAAGAAATGGGATAATGGATCACCCTCAGACCTCGATTAAGAGAGAATTCCTTAGTAGGGCTACCTTTAACAAGGATCAAAGCACGAGAAGACTCCAAACAAGCTTGTATCTATCTTATCCATTTGTGATCAAAATCCATAAACTCCATAATTTTCAACAAATACTCCCAAGAGACTGAATCATACGCCTTGTCAAAGTCCACTTTGAAAATCATAGCTTTGTTTTTCTTCTTCTTACACCACTCAATAATTTCGTTTACCATGAACGGACCATCTAAAATTTGTCTACCTTTGACAAAGACATACTGTACCGGGCTAACTATAGAATCAATCACATTTGCCAGTCTAATAGCTAGGAGTTTGGATAAAATTTTATATTGCACCCCAATTAAACTAATCGGCCTATACTCCTTAATATAAGGACTATCAACCTTAGGTATTAGCAAAATAAATGAGGAGTTACACCCTTTAGGAATAACTCCATTCGAATAGAACTCCACAAAATTAAAGACATCGACCTTAATAACCTCCCAAAACTTCTTAATAAACCAAAAAGAGAATCTGGCCCTGGAGCCCGATCACATGCACTGGCCCTGGAGCCCGATCACTTCCACAAGACCAAACTGCTGCTTTAATTTAAACAAGTTGATCTATGGTCGTGATTGATTCAAGGGTTTTTTGGATTCACATCTACTTAGATATAGCCTGCCACACATCTTATTTTAATTTATTAGAAATATTTCAAAACATTAATTTAGAAGAAATATTCTACAACACAACATCGTTCAAAAAAAAATTAATAGACAAAAAATTATCATGTCATACATAAAAAAAAAAGATTGAAAATTTTATACAAACATTATAATTTATAGAGCATTTCATAAATGAAATGTCATTAAATATTTAATAGAAACAATTAACTAGTAAGTAAATAAAAAATATTAAAACACAAAGACAAAATTACAAAAATGGTCCCTGTGGTATGCATTTTTTTTGGTTTTAGTCCAAACCTCAACTTTTTTGGATTGGTGGTCCTTTTGGACTAGTTTGTATGTGAAAATGGTCCCTCTGAAAATTGAAATGACTAAATTGCCCTTTTGATATATTTTTTATATTTTTTTCTATTTAATTTAATGTTTTATTAATAATAAAATGGGGCCCACACCCCATTCTCTCTCTTTCTCTCTCTCTCACACACACACACACACACACATTTGACGATCATTTTTCTCACCCGATCAAACCTAGAAACCACCATTGTTATGATGAAAATTGAAGTTGTAAACCAAAATAAGAACCCAAATCAACAACCCATTTCTCCTTCACACCCAAAGATTTGATGAGATAAACCAACTCCAAACACCCTTCTTTTCATTCAATTTTGTTGTTGCCATCAAGAAGAAGAACAGGAGGCAGCTGCCTCTTCTACTTCGTCTGTCTTCTCCTTCGGGTGATGGCCAATTCCACCTGTCGATCGTACACTGAACTCCCCCCCCCCCCCCTGAAGACTGGTGAGGCGGCAGCCCCCTTTTGATTCCCCGCCTTCGCACCTTCCTTCCGAGACAGAAGAAGCGCATGAGCTACTTAAGCAGCCCTTGCTGCTTTCGTTACCACCCCGAGCCTTCCCTGTCACTGCCTCGTTCGTGATTAGCCTTCTCGATCAGATGAAAATCAAGGACCGGAGGTCCCTTTTCCCGTCGCCGACAGCATAAGCTGCCCCATCAAGTATGCCTATTGTTCTTCACACCAATCATCGAATTGCTAATAAGTGCTGAAATCTTGCAAATTGTTGTCGATGATTCAATGTTATTTAGACATGAATCTTGCAGAGGTTGAGGAGAAGATAGATTGATGTATGAGATTGAAGAAGATGAATGTTGTGGTATGTATTCTGGGATGTAGTGGCCGATTGAGAGAGATAAAAAGAGAGAGAGGGGGAAAGATAGGGTCACTGAAGCTTTCTCCATTAAGTGTATGTGTATATTGATAAAGAAGATGAGAGACCACAATGTGTATGTATGTGTGAAATTGTCTGAGTTTTAATTTTGACAAGAAGTTGTGTTGAGTTTTTTTAGGAAGAAGATGATTATACACGAGAGAGAGAGAGAGAGAGAGAGATGGGCCCATTTTTATATTTAATAATAATAATAATTTTAAAAAGTAAAAGAAAAATGAAAAATGAATTCATTAAGGGTATAATAGTCTTTTTAGTTTGGACAGGGACCAAAACTGCATCTAAACCAGCCCAAAAAGACCATCAATCCAAAAAAGTCGAGGTTTGGACTAAAACCCCAAAAAAATGTATACCACAGGGACCATTTTTGCAATTTTGTTAAACACAAATAACCTATATACTCCAATGCCAATAAGGGGTCAATAAAACAAAATGAGTTAGTAATAATAAGTTATAAAATAACTCCCAACCGAAGATGCACCATGTCAAATAGTCAAAATGAGTGTTTGACAATTTCAAAACGTCTTATGAAACTTCTTTTTGGCACCACTAATTTGAAAATGGGTTTATAGTTTCTTGAGATAAAAATGACTATAATGCCCTCATTTAACAGCTTCCGAACATAATATAACAGTTTAAACCCTTGCCAAGGGTTTTACAAACCCTAAGATTTACCAAATTCATTCTAGCAGCTCTCACCATACAGGTAATCTCCATCCCTACCTCCTTAGATTGTTTGTATTATCTTCTGGTTTACAACCTTGCATCTATTCAAAAAACCGTAATGACATATGACTGTTGTTTTCTAACTTTGAAATCCATGGGAAATACAAAAAAAAATGATGTCATTTACGTAAATTTTTGTTAAAAGGATTATTAAAAAAGATTAAAGATAAACTGTTATATGTAAAAAAAAAAAAAATGGGTAGACCAAAACATATAACATGTTGGTTTTGGTCATTTAACATATATACGCAGCTTTTGTCGAACACTCCAAAAAGTATTTATCAACTTACAGAGTTTTGCCACCCCATAAGCTATAATCCAAACACTTTTTTCTAAAAACTCCTTTTGGCTAACCATATAAGCTAATAACCACTTTTAACCAAAAAAAAAAAAAAAAAAGTTATGTTTTCAAAACACCCATTGGGCATCCACTTTGAATCCAAATAAGGTTCAGTTACCCATATATCCATTGTATACACTCCATATCCAGATTTCTTAACCTACCTTCTGTCAACAAAACCCTTACCAGTTTGAACTTTAGGAGCCACTAGATCAATCTGCTGCCAATCAGTCCATGGTATCCAACCAATTTGGAAACAATCAAAGATAGAGTTCTCATTATATGTTGTCTAAATAAATGATGTTCAAAACAAATCTAACTGCACACTCTAGGGAACACAATGGAAAGTCAAATAAGAGCAAACTTATAAAAAGCTAAGACTTAATGGAGAAAACACTCGAGGGAAGAGAGTCTTATGTTCCTGATTTTCTCTATTAAGGGGTTGTTTGATATGCCTCTTACTCAGTCAAATTCAGACTGTTTGATACCACAATTAGAAGCCTCTAATTCAGTCGTATAGTTTTTGATATGCGTTTTACCAGGTCTGATAAGAGGTTGTGTCTAACTCAATCAGGCAGCCATTAACTTGTTTGTTTTGCATTAAGTAAAAGAGAAACACCAATAATGAGCTTATAATTTACTGATTTAGTCATATTCTCATTAATGCAAAAAGAAACACCCATATATAGCTTACACTTTCAAATTGATAAAGAAGTTAATAGAAAGAAAGCATAATCTCAACAAAATGTAAAGAAAATGAGAAAATATATGATGACATTGACGAAAATAACTCATGAAATTTGAAGTATCCCTAATAAAAATCGATATCTGTGTTTACAAATTACTTAGGCAGACTCACTGATACAGACTCTGTTCTTACTCTTTTCCCTCAATCTTTCGAACTTAATGGAAATGAACATGGATATTTTGATAATCTATGATCCTATTCGTTTTTCATGTTCAACAATTCAAGTAATTAACCAAAGCATGAAATGCAGTATTCAACATTCCAACTGCTAAAAGTCTAATTGATCATAAAACGTAAACATTATAAGCCTCATGTTTCCAATTGAAAACAAATCTAAATCAACGGAGATAACCAGGAATCTTAATACGAAGAAAGAGCATACTCATCACATAGGCAATAACCACGAACGAGATCCCAGCACCAGCGAACGAGATCTTCAGACTCTTGGCACGATTCGGGGAGATCGCGAGGTCCATGAGTATAATTCCCATTCCGCCTAGCACAAACATGAAGCCGGAAGAAAGTCCTTCGATAATGTACTGCCCGTTGACTCTGCCGGACATGAAAACAACTGGTCGGACGGTGCCAGTTCGCGGATCTTGAGTCGATCCGATGCCTGGAGGCTCGACGATGACATCGTAGACGACACCGGAGACAACCATGAAGTAAGTGAGAAGGACGAGGGAGAAGACGGTCATAGGGGAAGGGAGGGTTATGGTTGGGAGTTTGAGGCGGAGACGCGGTGGCCGGAGGAAGGAGAAAGGTAGGACGTTGAGAACATGGAAGAGTGGATCCATGGATGTCTCGGAGGAAAATCGGTTCGTTAGGGTTTCTGATTTAGGGGTTTGCTGTTTTGAAGTAGATATTCTGTTGGTGTAGAGTATAGACGGTAAAGAGTGTGAAATGACCGTGACGACATACAACGGTGGACTGCAACTAAATTAAGTTTTAAAATGATTTTAGGAAGCTAATAATGTTTTTCATTTTGTTCAAAATTTCCATTATTTTTTTTGTTTTGTTTATTAGTATTAAATTTCTTGAAATATTAAAAAAAATCAGTGGAAACGGGATTAATTCTATGTATGGGTGCTTAAAGATAGATGAAGTTGAAGTAAGCTCATTTGAAGTGAAGATTGCAACTCTAAAAAGAGAGTTGAACTTGTATACGATGAAGATCTATTATGAGTTTTTGAGGTTTAGGTCGGAAGGAGTGGTGTCACACTCTCTCATTTTACCACACTTCCTTATCATATCCAAAGAGTGGTATTCCATAGAAAGAAGAGAGAGAGAGATATTTTAGCCACACTCCCCAAACCGCATAGGGGGCAGTGTTCACTACGGTTTCAGATGTCACATCAACTGAAATCGCACTTCACTCCCTCTGGTCTTAGAAAACAATTTGATCAAATAGTAGTAAGTTATTTATTTAGAAATGTTGTGTGTATTTTATTTTTATTTTGTATGTAGTATTGTAGTAATGTGTTTTGTCGAACCATGAGTTGAACTAAAGCAAAAATGTTATAATGAATATGTATTTTGCCAAAAAAAAAATTATGTATTTTCCTTGGTTTTGAAAACAATAAATATAGTTAATCGATTAATGTAACTCACATCTACGAATGTAAATGATAAACAATAAATGTAGTTCATTGATAAATAACGTTTATTTATTAGTGGACATTATTGTTTTGGGAATTAAAAACCACGGGTCATGTTCAAACAAGTCATTAGGCTTGAGGGTGTAGGTGCGGTTTGCCACCTCGCCTAGTGGGAACATCACTCCTACCTTATGGTTTGGCCACGCGCGGCTAATTCTTCTCTCTCTCTCTCTCTATATATATATATATATATATATATATACACACACACACACACAGAGAGAGAGTTAGGTTCAAATGTGGATTGACATGTATTGTGTGGACGTGTGGACAATGTTATTCTGTGAGAATGACAAAGAAAATAAGTTGTTTGATAATATGAATACGTTCAATCTTATATAATTATTGTAATTATTATGTATTTTCATTAATTAAATCGTCTATAAGGTTATTATAGACTTTTTTTAATTATTCTCATTCTGTCAGAATGTTATCAGGATATTTATTGAGTCGTATTCTGTAAGAATGAAAATAAATGAAAAACAATGCATGAGAACAAAAATGAATTAGAATTAGTGAGAATCAATTAAAATAACAATAGTTCTGTGAGATTGAACGTATTCACATTACTAAACAACATATTCTCTTAGTAATTCTCATAAAATAGCATCATCCACACGTCCACACAATAGTTGTCCATCCACATTATAACCTAGCCCTATATATATATATATATATATATATATATATATATATATATATATATATATATATAGAGAGAGAGAGAGAGAGAGCTAGGTTCAAATGTTTTCAACAAGTATTGTGTGCCTCTAACAACCAATCAGAATTAAGCAAAAATAAATTCAATAATAAATCAGAAAAGGGTATAATAGTAATCTTGACTACATTTAATTTTGATAAATATTTAAAACATTTAACGTCCAGAGAAATTAGTTTGTTAACCCTAGAAAAACACTCACCATTCGTCCTTAAATTGCTTCGTCAATCTTCACCAACGACTCCTTCATGATACCAGGAGAAGAAACCCACCATGTCGACTATCATCAACCTGACACACAATACAAACATGAACCCTAATGGTGCCCAATTCCAATTCACATTGAGCCCTAAACTCTCCACGGTTCAAGCCCTAAAAACGCCACTATCAATCATCAAGTTTCCAGACCCATGACCACGGATAAATTTCTTCTCCAATCAGCCTGTAAGTTTCTTTTTCTTCTAATGAACGCATTTTTTTATTTAATTGATTTTATGTATTTGGTTTTGGATAAATGATTTTGTGAACGCCATTTCTGAAAAATCGATGATTGCAATCTGTTTGGATGTATTTCTTTGCATTTTATTTGAACCAAGCTGGTAAGTTCTTTCCAATTAAGATCTCTAAGTTCTGAAAATTCACTAGTGGAATCGGATATATGTTCTCTTAATTCAAGTTTGGTATAGCTGCATTTGATTTCTAATTATCTCAACATCTGTAATCGATTTCTATCAATCTCCTATGATATCATGAATCTTTCTCCTGCTTTCGGTTCAATTTCTAGTGTTATGAAGGTGTTTGGTGTTTAATACAACTTGTTGAAGGTGTTGACATTGTATTTCAAGGTAAAGCTAGGACAATTGGATAATGCACATAAGGTGTTTGATAAAATGCATAAGAGATGTTTCAAGCCAAATTCTCAGTAATTGACTAATTCCATATTTAAAACATAGTTTCTAGTAATCTTAGACATGGGTTTGGTTATATTCTATGTATTCTGCCATATTCTATGTATTCTATGTATTTTGTCAAAATGTATTCTATGTTCTATGTATTATGCCATATTCTGCGAGAATGTTTCTGTCATATAACATGTATTCTGTCAGAATTACTAGTAACATATATTTTATGTAATATGTATTTTGTCATATAACATGTATTTTGCCATCTAAAATGTTCGATGAAATGTCTATATATAATACTCCATCTTTTTTCATTGTAGTTTTAGGATTACATGATTGTATTTCATATGTTATACGTATATTGGTTTTTAACATTTTTTTTGATGATTTCTTTGTCTATTTATAAGGATCATGGTCTTTGTTGATACACACCTAACACCCACATTATTATTCTAAATTCATTAATTGTTTTAGATGAATTTTGGCTTGTTTGATGATAATGCCTAAAAAGTGTTTGTTGAAATGCCTGAAAGAGAATCTAACAAATTTAACCTTGTGGTATGCATTCTGTTAGAATTACTAGCAACCCATGTTTTATTTAATTGTTTAAAAAGGTAGTTAATTTGTTTGTGTATTATTTTGGTTCAATTTGTGATTTTGAATTCCAATTTATATTGTCCCTCGTTATTGTATATTAATATTAGCAGTAAATACGATACTTTTGAATGTATTCTTTGTATTCTGTCAGAATGTATTCTGACAGAATAAAATCTATGTGTTCTGCCAGAATGTATTGTATGTATTCTGTCATATTATATGTATTCTACCAGAATATATAAAGTGATAGTTAATTGCAAGTAACATGTTTTTAACAATTATTAGTTTTTGTTGTATTTGTGATAGGAATGGCTGGAAGAATGCGTTGAAGACCTAATAGAAATAAATTTAAGAATGAATAAAGTTTGATCATACTCACAATTTAAGAATGTTGTTATTTTATAAGAATTTTATTCATTTTTGTTGATCTTCTTTTAGAATATGTATAATTATATTAAAATGTATAAGGCTTTTAGTCTGTTAGAATATGTATGAATTTATATTTAAGTTCGGATGTATACGAATATATTAGAATGTTGTTATTTTTCAACCACGAATTCAAGATTTTTGTTATTCTTTAATAATATTCTAATAGAATAAAATTCTGAAAGAACATCATTCTAACAAAAAAATATTCTGACAGAATAAAATCGGTTATGTTTACAAATTACGTTAGAATTAAAATTGAATTAATTAAAAAAATTCAGATTTTTTAAATTAGGAGAATTGATTATCCCTAAAAATCCGAAAATTTTCTTTTATAAATGTAGTTAATTGTCCAAAATACCCTTTTGCTAAAAATTGTGTGATTATAGGGTACATGTTATCTTATTGTAGTATCATACACTCTCAAATAATGTCCATTGATTAATTACATCCGTTGGTCCAGATCTGTGCATTCTGGCACACAATAGTTAGTAAAAACAAAATAACCTAAGCCTATATATATATATATATATATATATATATATATATATATATATATATATATACACACACACTAAGGTTACAACACCTACTGTGTGGCAAAGATCCACACTTTGTGTGGTAAAATTGACATGACACCTACGTGGCAGAGGAGGGAGTGTGGTTCTTATGGCACCACACCCTCCAGCCTTATAAACAAAACAATAAAGACCATAAAGGCCATAAAGTATTCAAAAGTAAAAAAATGCAATCAAAATACGTATATATATGATTCTTCCTTTACATATAAAAAAATACCTATATAAGTGTAGCACCCGGCTCCTGGTATGAATTTCGTTCAAGTATTATTCATTTTTTTTCCTAGAACTCGGCGATTTGATGGCCAACTCGACGAGTAGGAGCGACTTGGACCCGGGATTTTAATGACCTACTCGACGAGTAGGCCCTGACTGGACAAAACCCTAATCTAAGGGATTGCACCCTATTTAAGCATCTCATTCAGCCTCCCTTCGTCCCTATTGCTCTCAGAACTCTCCATATCAAACCTGATCGTTTGTGTAAAGATCTAAGGCCTTTGTGGTGGTTTTTGGTGATTTTGGAACATAAGAAGGAAGAGAAAGGCTTGAGGAATCAAGAGGAGGCCAGAGGAGTTCGAGTTTGTGCACCCTCTGCAGTTCTTTAGAGGTATAAAGCTGATACCTTGCTCTGTCATGTTTTTGATCCCTTTTTGGGGTGATTTAGGGCTTTTAGGAGCCATTCTTGGTGACCAATCATGAGTGCAAGCATGGTTGGCAGCTAAGACTTCAGATCCAAGGTCTTTGAGGGGTTACAAGACAGAAAGGGACTGATTTTGGAGCCTTAGAGAGCCCTATGCACCTTAAGAGTCTCATTTAGGGCCATTTGAGCTCATAGTCCCATGCATGGACATAAAGTTTGTAACTTTACGTGCTAGATCGATCCTAGAAGCCTAGATCTATCTTTTGGTCAAGTGTTGT